GGAAGCCCTGAGCTGAGGGAGAGCGGGCGGCCGCGTACCGCCCCCCCCCCGCCTCGACCCCCCTGCCCAGGGCCTCCAAGGCCGGGCGGATGAAAGGCCGGGCTTTGGGGGGGCTGTGGCCCCCGCCTCTGCAGGCCTCGGCTTTGGGGGCTCCCTCAAAACAGCTGCCTTCCTGACGGGGTTACAGTTTGGGGGTGGCTATGAGTTGCTCACTTTCATATTAAAGGCCTGACATGAAATGATGGAGTGTGTGCTCTTTCCTGCCACCCCCTTAACTCTGTGAGTGGGGATGCAGCCACTCAGGTAAAAGGAAATGTGTGTTTAATTAAGCGTACCCTTAATTTGGGAGAAGGAGGGGACAGGTGTACCCCAGCCAGGGACAGGCCATAGCGCTGCTGGGCTGTGCCAGGGGCTGCCTTTACTGATCCCTGCCTGGGAAAAACGCATGCTACGTACATCCCAAAAATACCAATTTCCCTTAAATATGGTACTCCTACATGCTGAGGGCTAAGGAAGGGCAGCTGTTAGTGAAAAGATGATAAAATAGCCAATAGACACACCTCCACCTTCTGAATGTTTTGACACAGTAGAGAAACAGAACTCAGGAGAGTGTAGAGTTATTTAGAACGCTTTAAGTACGGATTTATTGATTTTTTTAACCAGTAGGAAGGGGCTTGTTTGTCTTCAGTTGCAATGTGTTGGTTTTTTCTCTCCAGAGTTGGGACCATGGCTATTGACTGGGTGGGTTTTGCATATGCTGCACTGCTGGCTGTTGGAGGTGTCATAGCGTACACTCGGAAAGGTAAGTATTGGGACAGCAACGTTTGGAAATGCAGCATTTGTTTCTTCTTTGCTGCACTTTATAAAAATAAAAATTGATGCAAGACATGAAAACTCTGCTGTAATGAACACGACTGCATCTTAAATCCACCCCGCGCTGCTATAAATGAGCTGGGCCTCATGAGATTTACTCGGGTCAACTTAAGCATTTAAGTGGTTGCTTTTTTCTGTTAATTTACTGTTTAATTTGTTTTCAGGGCAAAAGGGGGCTGTCACGTTATTTTTGACCTTCGGTGTATTTTAGGCCTGCTCATTTCCTTTAATCATTCCTGCGATGAGCGCAGTAGATGATAACTGATTAAAGTTTATTTTCCACAAAGGCATCCTGGCTTGATTTTGAGATTTCCAGACGCACACTGGAAAGAAAGCCTTTTACTTGTGTATTCTGTTCCGATGTTTTGCATTATCTGTTAGCTATTAACTCTAAGATAAGCAGGTTTCGGGTTATCGCGTACTATAAAGCGTGTTTTTCCCTATTTCAGTCATTTTTGCAGTCCTTGCCAGCTGGCAGTGCCCTGCCCGAGCCCAGCGCAGCGTCCCGGCAGAGGTCGCAGTGGTCCCGGGGACGGGCAGCCGGGATCCCCAGCCCGGTCCCCCTGGGCTCTCCCGCAAAGGGCACATCCCAGCCGCGCATCCCTCTGCTTCCCCGTGCCCTTATCCACCCCCATTCTTGGGATTCGGGGTCACTGTTTCCCTGCACAGCATGCACACGCTTTGCTCTTAGACATATGGCTTTATGCCTGACTCCCTGAAAAAGCTGTATTTTTTTTTTGCACTCAGTCGCACTCACTATCCCATTCGCTTGTTTTCTTCACTCTTATTTTTTTTTAATCGGTAATGCTTTCTGTTTCTTGCAAATTCCTGATTAAAAATATGGAATATATCAGGACTGTGAGCTAAATGACATCTGGGGATCTGGTTTCTTCATTTATAAAAGCTTTGGGATCAGCTCAATCTGGATAATGCTTGCTGTGCTGATTCTGTGCTTTTATCGTATGGCACCGAGTCAAATGCCTGTTCAGAAATGTAGGTATATTCCTGAAACTCGGGGCTTTATGAACCAGTTCTGTAATAGCACTGAAAGAAGATGTTGAGTTACTTTTAAAACCGTATTTTCGTCTTCATTGCCATCTAATTGTTTTAACTCATTTTTTAATTCTTTACTAATTAAACGTGAAGTTGCTGATACCATTTCTTTGTCCAGGACTGATGTCAGGCTGAAAGGTTTATGATTACATGTGTTGTCCAATTTACCTTTTATATATTGACACATTTCTACCATTTTTGGAGACTCCCAAGTGCTGTAAGATACCATTAAAATCAACAGGTAGTCCAGAGAAATTACAAAAATGCTTCTAAAGGTATGTATGTTAGAGAAAATAACCAAATTTAGGTTTGTGCTTCAAAGATTATTTTTTCCCAATTGCAAGTATAACTAGACCCTCATCATCGCCCTCTAATTCAGTCAACTTTCCCCCTAATGCCAGGCAAGAGAATGACCCAGTTACAGAAATACCACCTCTATTCACACCGAGCGAGCTAGCTGCACTGTGGCAAAATCAGTTCTATTTTTAAATATATTTGGATAATGCTGTGCAGAGAGAAATACTGTGTAAAGATTGAGCTTAAAGACACTGTATTGAGAAGTAACGCTCGAATGGTTTCTTGCAGGTAGTAAAATCTCTTTAGCTGCTGGGCTCACCTTTGGATCTGTGGCTGGTTATGGAGCTTACTGCGTAACACGTGATCCAAGAAATGTGAAGATATCGTTGTGTAAGTGTTTTACTGCGGTAAACAACAAAATACCCCAACAACAAAACCTGGCAGTTTCCTCAATTGCATGTAAAAGTCTCTCTTCTGTTTACTTTCGAGCACGGCTTTGGTTTGAATGTTATTTCTTAAATAGAGTTAGGCACTTCAGCTTCACTTGCAAAATTAAACTCGGAGCTGTTTGTTTGGAAGGTAGGGAACTGTGTGGAAGGTAAGGCAGCTCCTTCACACCCAGCCAGCAGGTCCATGGCACCACCTGCCAGCGCCTCCTTTTATGAGCTGGTTTCATAATGCTGCAAATATTGTGAAATCCAGCCGAGAAACATGGGAGAGCACTGGAATAAACTCATTAGAGCTACAGATTAGAATGTAATTTGAGAAGTGAAGTAGGTGTGGGAGCCAGTCCTTGCTTGGATTAAGTTATCCCACTGTTAAAAAGAAACCCATCTTTTTTGGAATGAAGACACAGCCTTAAGTATATGTAAATACGTAATCATTCTGTGTGACATGCTTTTAAGTAGCATACGGTATTGTACTTCTATGGTTCAATTAAATCACTAATTTGGATGCAGAATTTGTGAAAGAGAAGGCTAATTAAAGCATAGTAAATGTTGCCCATTTCCAAACTGGCTCGTTTTGAAAGGACTGATACAAAGTTTCCACTGATTTCCTTGCTGATGTCAGATATACTCAAATATTATCAGTGCTGTGCGTTTCATGTAGCTGTAGGCATGTAAGGACTTTCTCTCCACTGGAGAAATAGGTATTACTAATTAAATAGAAATTACAGCAATACAGATGAGGTACAGCTCACTACACCTGCCTTAGAGAGTTCTTACTATGTAGAGTAAAAAGAACAAAGACACTTCAAAGCAGTCTTAGTTCTGAATGTTTCCAAAGTGGGGTTCTGATTGCTTAAAACCCTCAACAGCTGTTTTACCTTGGTTATTGAATGGGTGGCCTCTTCAACATCCACTTGTGTTGAATGAAACCAGTAAGGTGGTCTGAACTAACTGGTCATTTTTGCCTGAAGTGAGTTAGCAAATATTCATAGAAAGTAGTCTCTCTGGCAGTGCCAACCATTCAAGCTGCTTTTAATCTCTTCCAAGCAGATGTGTCTCAGTCTGGCATCTTCTGGCTTCTATACACGTAGATACCTCAAATGAATAAAGAACTGGGTAGGAAGACCTCAGAGTAAGGGAGAATTAGACACACTCAAAACCAGCTACAGATCCAGACCTTAAAAACCTTCGGTGCCTGCTGTATCTGCTACTTTCAGAATAATAAGGGCTTTTCATCATAAACAAGTATTGCTTTTGTAGAAAATCAGAATGTTTTCCTTTGTGTCTAACCTGCCAAAGTGCCACAAGCAACTAGAGCACAGATGAGAGAAGGAAATTCAGTGCGTGGAAGAAAGTGACCACTCTGAACTTAGAAACCAGTAGAGTAAATTGCAATGTAAAATGAAGCAAGTACCCAAATGTTTAAAACGTTAGGAAATTAAAAAAAAAAATGACAAAAACCATCCTCCATACTGAATATGATTTGGCTTGATTTACTGAATTTCTTTGACTGATTTAAGGTGAGACAGTGAATATGTAGCACTTTTGAAAACATCTTTAAAGTTTTGAATGTCTTAAAAACTCAGTGGCACATGTGAAGAGCCAGATGCTATTAACTGGAAAAAAGTACATTACAGAGTGAACGTGCTCAGTAGCTTATAATTAATTGTAAATGTACTCAGGGCTCTGGCAAGGCACATACTGTGGAACAGTCCACTCCTCAGACATTCCTGAGAGGATCAAGACTATGGGACCAGAAAATAAGAGCGATGGGTAATGAAGCATAAGAGGTTTTTTGCAGGGTGTCTTTAATGAGGGCACATGCGTAGCTGGTGGAGTTTCATAAGATGCTTGTAACTGTCGGAGCTGGTTTTATAATGCTGGAGTGAGCTTTCAAGTAATTCCTGACACCTGTGAGTACAGGATTGTGCACAGCAGTAGACAGCGGAGTCTGAAGAGGATTAGTCAGATGGTCTAACTGCTCCATAAAAAAGGAAAGAGATTTGTGTAACTGCCATTACTTTGGCTGCAAGAGTGGTAAAGCCCAGCTGGCTCTGAGAAGTCCTGCCTTTCTGATCTAATGTTTTATTAAATTGCAGTTCATAGCAAACGATAGCAATGACCTTTGATAACTCTCCATGTTCCTGAATGGTCCACTGGGAGAAGTCAGAACATAAATATATTGAATTGTCTTTTACAGTTTCAGCTTTTCTTTTGACCATTATAATGGGAATGAGGTTCAAGAGGTCCAAGAAATTAATGCCAGCCGGACTAGTAGCATGCCTGAGGTAAACATATATTTGAGGATCTTAATGTAAAGATTTCACTGATTTTCAAATAGTTGCCATTTGGCATCTGATTCAAGCCAGTATCAGTGGAACATGGGGTGAGGGTGGTGAGGCACTGGAACAGGTTGCCCAGAGAAGCTGTGGCTGCCCCATCCCTGGAGGGGTTCAAGGCCAGGCTGGATGGGGCTTGGAGCAACCTGGTCTGGTGGGAGGTGTCCCTGCCCAGGGCAGGGAGGTTGGAACTTGATGATCTTCAAGGTCCCTTCCAACCCAAACCATTCTGTGATTCTATAAGCTCAGCACCTTTGAACACTAGGACATTTTTGACCTGACCTAAGAACTTTGGTCAGTATTACTGCAAATTACGATGTGTCTAACCATTCTGAGTGCTTTATTGCTGCTGTTTATTTTGGCATATTGATAAACATAATTCTCTGTACTCGTGTTTTTGGAATTCAGTTTTGGACTAAGACAAAACTTTCTTTTCCAAGTGAGTCTGTAACTCAAAACATTTTTCAACTGTAGATCAGAATCGCCATCTTCTGAAGGAATAATAACTGTTGCTTCATTGTTACCAGATTTAATATAAGGCTGTCAACTCTTTTCTGACCTAAGAACTTTGGTCAGTATTACTGCAAATTACAATGTGTCTAACCATTCTGAGTGCTTTATTGCTGCTGTTTATTTTGGCATATTGATAAACATAATTCTCTGTACTCGTGTTTTTGGAATTCAGTTTTGGACTAAGACAAAACTTTCTTTTCCAAGTGAGTCTGTAACTCAAAACATTTTTCAACTGTAGATCAGAATCGCCATCTTCTGAAGGAATAATAACTGTTGCTTCATTGTTACCAGATTTAATGTAAGGCCGTCAACTCTTTTACTCCAGTGACATACAGGGAGGAAAAAAATCTGATGCAAATTGTCAAGATTACTCCAGTGACATACAGGGAGGAAAAAAAGCCGATGCAATTGTCAAGGTGCAAAATTTCAGAATCAGGACTTAAAGGAACAAGTTATTTTCCCTTGAGGCTCACTTTTCAGGCCTAGGTAGACTGTGTGTTTCAGCAGAGGCTGGGGCTGTAGATGCAGACATTGTGAGAGAGGCTGTAGTGTCAGGTAGTCACCGATGCGTTGGTTCGTAATGATGACTTGCACTGGTTTTGTTTCTTGTATTAACGTTTCTTGTTCTTTATTTTTTTGCAGCCTTTTGATGATTTTGAGGCTTGTTTTTATGCTGCTGTAGGAGAATTTAGCAACTTGAGAACTGAACAATGACTGCCACGCTCGCCGAACAAACAGGCGAGCTCTCCGTACTTGAAAGCCACGTTTGAACACAAGTCTTACATTGCATTTATCTGCCCTGCAGAGGAGCTCTACCTGGAATTTTGATTATTGACATTTGCTGATATTGTGCAAGCTTTTTTTTAAAAACTAAAACAAATGTTTTGTCGAGGATATATTTTGATCTACTTCCGTTTCAGCGGTTTGTTAAATCAAGGGATCTTTTTCTCCGAATTTGATCTCTTTCAGGGGTGCTGAGCGCCCCAGGAAATTTCAGTTAGTCTTGCACTGTGTCTCTGAGAGAAGAATATATATAAATATGTGTTTATGATAAAAAGGTATATTGTATTGAGTCATAATTTTGTAGTTTCTGAGATTAAATAATCAATTGAATTATCTTTTACAGTTTCTTTCTTATTGTCATTTACTAAGTAATAAAGGCAGAAGCCTGTACTGTGTTGCACTAGAAAACCCACCTTTCTTTCAGACACATATCTTGTTGCACTGGTTCTAAATGTAAAAACTTATCAGTGTTCAAATAAAACATAAAATGTTCAAAGCTTCTCAGTTTTTTTTATGCAGACTAGTGGGCTGTTTTCTCAGTGGAAGAGCCTGGTGCCCTGCTTTGTACCCAGCACCTGTTTAAAACACAGCCCGTGCTGTAAATCCCCGCTGCCATGAACCACAGCGGGGGAAGGTTCACCATCTTGCACAAATAGGTTCTAAACTCTCAGTCCCAATAGTCTTGAACACATTTGCTGGTGTGTTCTGATAGGGATTGTCTTGCTGAAGCCCTCCCCAGGAGCACAGTGTTCAGATGAACTCTTTGGGAATTTAAGTTGCTTTAGTTTGCGTAGAAAATAATTGAATTTTCTGGGTGTGAGAGCTTGGCTGAGACTATCGTCTGGTGCACAGGAACGTGCAGCCAAATCATTAGGAAACTGAGTATGTGGACAAAGAGAAATTTTGCTGCTTTTTGGTTTTTTTATCCCGAGCTGGTTTATGAAGGCTATCGTATAGCACATCTCAGCACCACACAAATCCGTCAGTGGGATACCAGGCTTAGTATTCTTGGCAGGGGCTTAAGTGGTGAGAAGGTGTGAGCAGCTCAGATGTCTAAGGCACAACTGACAATAAAAAAAAAAAAAACAAAACAAAAAAAGGAGGGGGAGAGGCACAAGAAAAAAACCCCCACCAACCCCAAACCCCATCGTCCAGCTCTGGAATCTTTTGCTAACAAATGTTGGTGTCAGTCACCTCCAGGTCTTACCAGGCTTACAGCGATGGAGCTGGTGTGTGACAGATCTCAGATTGGACACAAGTAGAGTTCCCAGCAAGTCCAACACATCCCTGTCCAAAGGGCTGTCCTGTGCCACAAGAGGTGTCCTCGCTCACAAAATGCAAAGGTGACATCCTGCGGCAGGCTCTGTGAGGGTTCAGCAATTGTGGCACTTGTCTGGAACAGAGGTGTAGCTCCATGGAAGTTGAGCACTACGGTGGCCGTGGCAAGCTGCTGCTTCCAGCTGCCCAGGGCATTTTAACCTAAAACTCTCAGGAGCTGATCTGGGCCGTGCTGAGGTGACCAGGGTGCTTCTGCTCTGTACCTCTGAGCTACATCACGTGGCTTTTCTTATGCACAAGTCAGAAAAGGGGTTAACTCCGGAGGGCAGCAGTTCTGTACCTACTGGGTGACTCTTTTCTCTGCCTCATCAGCTTGAGTCCTAGTGAAAAAAAAACAACTGCCTGCAAGGAAGAAGAGTTTATGGCGCTGTTCTCAAAGGCAACAGTGATGGTTCCTGTTAAATTAGGGTGAAGAATCTAGCCTCATCAGCTTGAGTCCTAGTGAAAAAAACCAGCTGCCTGCAAGGAAGAAGAGTTTATGGCACAGTGATGGTTCCCATTAAATTAGGGTAAAGAATCTGAGCTGCTGCTTCCAGCTGCCCAGGGCATTTTAACCTAAAACTCTCAGGAGCTGATCTGGGCCGTGCTGAGGTGACCAGGGTGCTTCTGCTCTGTACCTCTGAGCTACATCACGTGGCTTTTCTTATGCACAAGTCAGAAAAGGGGTTAACTCCGGAGGGCAGCAGTTCTGTACCTACTGGGTGACTCTTTTCTCTGCCTCATCAGCTTGAGTCCTAGTGAAAAAAACCAGCTGCCTGCAAGGAAGAAGAGTTTATGGCACAGTGATGGTTCCCATTAAATTAGGGTAAAGAATCTGAAATCGTAGCGAACGCTTTAAACACTGTTGAGAGAAAACTGACTCTTTTACTTGAAAAGGTAAGCAGCCAAGGCAGTTCTCTTTACAACTGCTTGGGAAGTGACTGGAGAAGGTAAAATCTTAGAATTCTAATACCAATCAAGCGGCATTTTCCTCACTGTGCCCAAGCAAAAGGAAGAGCAAGAGAATAGATGGTTTCAATAGCTGAAACCCACACCAGGCTAATTAAACACACGCGCTTTGATCTTTCAGCAAACAAAATCTCTTCTAAGAGATTCATATCATATGGGTTTATTTTGCTCATAAACTTACGAGGATCATGAGTTTTAATTTCCTTTTTTTTTAATTCATTTTTAAAACATGTATTTGTTTCTCTTCTAAACTGCAGCTCTGAAGTACAGAGAGAGCAGTGAAATGCACAGCAGGGGGACAGTGAACTTCCATCTCGAGACCACCTAGAAAGCAAAACCAGAATATTCTAGGCCTGATTTTCCACGACTTCTCCAGTTTTACAGAGTGGCTCTTTTCTCCTGCAG